AAGTAACTAAGTAATTAATTACTTTTGAAAATAAGTAATCAGTAAACTAACGGGATTACTTTTTTGGGGAAGTAATCAGTAATTAGTTACTGATTACTTTTTCAAGCAACTTGACCAACACTGATTCTGAATACCACCTTCTTAAACAGCAACTGTAACAGAATACAGTTACGTATTTAAAATACAAAATATGAGTAATGGCGGTACATGTATTGCGTTACTCCCCAACACTGATGGTAATACGGTCATTGCTATGCTGATCAGTCTTTGAATCTACCAATACGCAGGAAACTCAGAGCTAAGGTAATCTCTGCATCACTTGCTGATAGTTTGGAGGAATCCCATTTTCAGTACTGGGAATCAGTTATTGTTGTTAAAATCAAAGTCTGAGATCTTGTCAGAAACCATGCTCATTTACTGACATATATGATTATTGAATAACTTTGAGTTTGTTACTTCCACAGTCCAAACTCCAGACCCACTTCTGCTGCAGCCACACATGTCCCATTCACTGACACAACTGCCAGTCAGCCATGCCTAAGCTTCAACCTGCTGCCTGAAAAATAAAGCCACTGGTTCCTTCATGGTTGGATGATGAGCAAATAATAGAGAGTGAGAGGAGTTGGTTTAAAATGAATTCGTAAGGACTGGATGGGTTAAATTCATTGTCCAGCATATGAAGAGTACTGAATTTACACTGCTGCCTAATGTAAGCAGACACTTCATCAGCTCAAGTTACTGCATTAATTTCATGAAATGAAATGGATGAGAATTAATGTGAAAACTGATGTTTGTAAGATGAGACTTTTGTTAATGTGTTAAATTTAATTTATTTGAAGGATTTGATGAGATAAGGCACTTTGTTTGAAAATGATGTAAAATTGCTTGTTTGCTTTTTTATTTTTATTTTTTTTTTTTGAGTGATGTTTTTGTTAAGGTTAAAGAACTGGGGGTGGGATTTAAAATGCTTTTTGCCCTGTCTTATGACTACTAGAAAAGTCAGGATTGAGTTACACTACTAACAGTCTTTTTTTTTTTTTGGTGTTGTTGCAAAGATAAACATGTAGAATACATGTTTTGTATATTAAAAAGCAAATGTAAACAAAATGTCAGTATTCTCCAGCTGACACTGAAAGTATTATTGACTACAATTAAATGAACACTTGTTGCTCAGTAGTGATATTCTTAAAAAAAGTAATACAGTAAATGTGTTTAATAAATGAATGCTAGATTCTAATAGAATTCGTATGAACTACACACTGAGTGAGTGTATACATATCCAATACCACAAATATACAAAAAGCCAATCAAAAGTCTACACTGCACTCTTGTAGGATATAGAAACTATGATTTGATAATTTGAGTGATGGGTGTTGGAACAAAGTTGTTTTTATACCGTGGTATTCTTTGGGAGTATGCGCTTTTATAAAGAAGAACGAATACGAAACTATATAAAGGGTGTGTGTTGTAAAGCAGCTAACTGCTGTAACTGATATACCAGGGATATTCAAAAACCCCTTAATGGACTACACACACGTATATATTAGGAATGCAACGATACTCGTATCGATACAGTGCTTTCGGTTCGGTACGCATATGT